AACAACTTGGCACGAAATCTTATTAATGAATTCTGCTGCTGAATCGCATATTAATGGGTTTTGCACATTGTACAAAATTTTTTCGGACATCATGTAGTTATGTCTCTGTCTGTAATTTTTCAGGAGTTTGATTTATTTGATATTATACTGATAGAGGATTGACTACTCTATCTACCAGTATGGAAAGAAAAATTTTGCCATTGGTTTTGGAACGAAAAAGATGGCTTTCAAAAAGCACTTTGGGCAGATTTCTAGAGACCCTTTCCCAATAATCCGGTAATGAAGCATCCATTGAGGACATAAATTACATCATTCGATGCAGTTTCAAAATCTCTTTCTAACAGAATATGTTTGAAACTAAAATTGAACTTTATTATCAAAAAAATTAAAAAATCCAAACAAGTGAGACATGCAATACTAAATTCAACCGCGGAACCTAACTCTACACTAGACTTTTAAGGTTATCATATCAGTTTGTCGGCCATCCATTGATCTACTAAAACCTTCAAAGTCAAATACATTTACATACGGCTAAGTCAAAAATTATCAAAAAAATTTCCAGTTGTTCTTATAATTTTGGCCAGGTAAAAATAACATTCTTCTTTTGTTCGACTTTTTTTCATTAAATTAAATAGGTTTTAAATAATTCTAAGTTGATATTCGGATAGAGCATACTTGAGTGTGTATGTATTGATTGATAGACAAATTCAAGCAACGAAAGGAAATATAAAAATAAACTGATAGATTAAAAAAATGTTTTGTTCTTATAATTTTGTCCACTACTGTATATTCGTAGTTAATTAAACAAAAACAAAATGAAACCTAAACTAATTAATGTTGTTTACTTGTCTGCTGAACTCGTGTTCCTCTCTCTGAAGATAAACAGTTTTTATTTATAGTCAATAAGCGTGCTGCTTTTTGTTTATGGATAAATTTTGGTTTATAATTAATGATAATTTGAAAATAATGCGACTTTTTTGATGGATCGATTTGATCATAAACTCTCATTCCCTGAAATGTCTCTTTCGAACTTGTCACATGATAATCATTTGCTTCATCTTCATCTGAAATTTTTCTCATAAAGAAATTGATGGCAATGAAAATGGTTTTCGCCAATTTTAATGCAATTATTTGATACTCAGTCCATTTGAATCGAATGAAGAATATTTGTGCTCATAGAATAAAGAATTTACTTATCCTCCTTTTATCATTAAAAGATTGTACTTGTATTTATTTCACAAAGCAAAGAAAGAATCATGTTCCAGTAGAAAAAAAAAACACTTTTTGGGCAACCAAAATTGTTTTTCCTCTAATAAAAGTGTTTTTCCTAGTGAAAAAACTGGTATTCACAAGGGCATAGCTATCTTGAAAGCCATAGGTAAATGAGCGAAAGTTGTTGGAAAATATTTGGGTTTATAGACAAACAGTAACATAGAGTCAGCTCCTATTACAAGACTTCTATGAAAAGATACATATTATATTCCATTAAAAAACATGTGTTTTTATACTGTGGAGAAGATGTGGTCAAATTTATCGATATTTGACTTATCCGAGTAAATACCACGTATTGGTGTATCTTGAAGTATGATGTGCACATCAAAGGTTGACGTAATTTTACAGTTATCATTTGCTAAGGTGAGGAATTCGAAAAAGCCTTCTAGTGTTCAAGTTAAATCTCGACAAAAATGCTTTCTACTCAAATAGTGATTAAAATAGTAATATTCTGATCAAGTTTTAAATAGAAAAATATCCATTAAAATTATATTTCAAGTCTTCATTTTGGTTGCTGCTATCAGATTTGAGAATCTTTTCAATCATATATCAGAGATGATCGTGACATAAGAATATGGATACTAACTTTTGAAAGCGATAACATCATTGTATCAAGCCTTAAAAAATTGCAATGGACATACTCCGTTTAAGAGTATTATTGAAACTTGCTATGCTATCAGAGCAGGACAGAGCAAGGTGTACAAAAACGCCCTATGATGGTCTCAGGTATGTTATCATAGTTGGACGAATTTTTCAAGTAATGTTGAACTCGAAATCTTCTTATGGATTATGATGAAACTCGTTCCTGAATTCCACTTTTCTGACCAAGATTCGTCCAATACACAAATCAACTGAAAAAAAAAGGATTTTTCGGCCTGCTAAAATCCAGAGTGACAGAAAATTAGTATAGCGACATTTATCGATGTGTACAGCTTGCGTATTTGCTTTTAGTTCAAAAAGCAATCAAAATAGCGAACGGTTACTAAGTGATATTTCTAAGATGACTTTATTCTATATTTAGACCAAATAATCAGAACATGAATCACGTCAATATTTATTTCGAATTGTGATTTAATTTTGTATTTCAATCAATTGAAATATACAACTGTTTGTAACTTATATTTCAAATTTGACTTTATTTTATATTTAGATTGATGTACCATTTCAATACTTGATTGAGTTTTCATTTCAATATTCAATTTCATTTTCTATTTAGATCAATTGATGTAAGAAAGAGTAAGGTCAGTCATATTATAAACATAATTCTTTTTCATATTTAGATGAATTGGCCAGTTGAATATTTACGCGAATTTTCATTTCAAATTGTAATTTGGTTTTGTATTTAGAGCAATCGAAATTAGTAATGGTAAGGTAACTCACATTTCTAATAAATTTTTATTTTATATTAAGATTAAATAACGGCACCTATACTACGTGAGTTTTTATTTGAAATGGTTATTTAATTTTCTGTTTAGATCAGCTCACTGAACTATACTTAGGCTAGTTTTTATTTCTAAATATTATTTGATACTGTATTCAGATCAGGTGAAACAAGCAACATTTAGGTAAGTCATATACTAAATATGATTCTTACTCTATACTTAGATACACTAATCAAAGCAATAGTAAGGCAAGCTTTGTTTTAAATTCTTATTCATTTTTGTATTTTAGATTAATCAAAACGACGAATGGTTGGGTAAGTGATATTTCTAATAAGATTCTTGTTTTATATATAGGCCAGATAGCCATACCAATGATGAGGTAAACTTTTTATTTCTAATTGTCATTCAACCTTCTCTTTAGATTAATCGAAACAAACAACGCTTAAAGAAGTCATATTTTATTTACGATTTTTATTTTATATTTAGATATGCTATCCTGTTTAATGATAAGGTAAGCGTTTATTTCTAGTTATCATTTGTTTTTGTATCTAGATCAGTCGAAAGAAGTCACGACAAAGTAAGTTACATTTCTAATAAAATTCTTGTGTTATATTTAGATCAACTAAGCGAAGAAACACTGAAGTAAGTTTTCATTTCTAATTGTATCTGGCTCTATCTTGAAATATATCAAAACAATCAACGCCAAGGCAATTTCTATTTAACACAAAACTCTATATTTAGATCAACTAACCAGTTGAATACTTATAGGTGCATTTTGATTTCAAATTATTATTTAGTTTTGTATTTAGATCACTCGAAACGACGAATGATTAGGTAATATACATTTCAAACATAGTGTAATTTTTCATTTAGATCAACTAAACAATCCAATAATTTGATAAGTTTTTATTTCAAAGTGTTATTTAATTTTCTATTTAGATCAAGTGAAACCAGTAATGGTTAGGCAAGTTGTTTTTCAAATAAGATTCTTATTTTATATTTATATCAACGAATCAAATAAATAGTTATGTAAGTTTTTATGTTAAACTGTAATTCAATTTCGTATTTAGATCAATCGAAACAAGCAATGGCAAGGCATGTTATAGTTCAAATATGATTTTATTTTGTATTTAGATCAGCTCAAGGGATCGATGGTGTGAGACGGTTTCATTTCAAATTGACGTAAAAAGTGTTATTCGGATCTGCATAAGACGTAGACGAAAACGTAAGTATCTGTTAAACTATGACTCTGAATTCAGATTCAGATGAGTGGAATTGTTCACTTGTCTACGATAATTTCAAAAGGATATGAGAATTTAGTTAGTCTTGTAATGCTTAATAAGTTAGGAGGTGGCCCTCGGATATGAAACGGGAATGATATGAGACTTGATTCGTGTTGATGGAATTATTGGCATCCTTACTGTCGTTAGCGATGTCGAGATGCTGTGAATATTTATATAGCTGTGCCGTGATTCATATCATGTACGGTTAAGAGGAGTCGATAGAGACGTGTCGTTGTGTTCTGTGATTTTTAATGAATCGTTCTAATAGTATAGTAATAGTGTACGAAACCCTATTTTTGCGTTTCCAATAAGGGTTTCGTACAGAACCAGGCTTGTACGAAACCTAAATTGGTTTCGAATTCGTTGCAATTCTTGGAAGCCTTATAGGTTCCGTACGGTGCCTATTTTTTTTTCAGTGTTGGCACATACATTGTTGAGAAGGAATAACAGACTAATTTGCATGTCGACTGGCGCTCTCCCGGTTGGTTGTCGATTGTTGAAGATAGCATCTCTTTGTCTCGTTCATCGTCACTGACGGTAATAAGGGCATCACTCTGAACATTTACTTCATCCTTTGAGTCGCCATTCAATGGTGATAAATCAATAATCTCTTCACTTTCTGCTGTTTCTACTTTTCTCTTCTTGCTCCAGGAAAATGGATGAATGACGGGATACTTTTTGGCCATTGAATCACTGCGATCTTCCTGTTAGATCAAACCTTCACCCTTCTTCTCTGTTTATTTAAACCAAATGACAACTATATTTAGTCATAATAGAAGGGAAAAATTCATGGGATGGAATATCCAATATATGTGAAACAGAAACAAGGACAAATCCAACGAAGAGAGCGAACAAAAAGATACAGGCACCACAAGAAGAAAATAACATATGCATATAGGAAAGAAAGAGAATAACAAAGGTAATGAGGCG